CATCTTCTGTAACTCTTCCTTCTTATCTGTTATCAGGACTATATCGTCTGCATATCTCAAGTGGTTCAAGAGCTCTCCATTTATTCTTATTCCGTATGTATCCCATTCTAATTTTTTAAATATGTCTTCCATAGCCTGATTGAACAATTTTGGCGATATTGTGTCTCCCTGCCTGATTCCTCTTTCGAATTTTATTGGTTCTGTAGCGTGTTCGTTCGTCAATTTTATTGTGGTACTCGCATTTTTGTATATGTTTGTTATTAGGTCCGTGTACCTGTAATCAATTCTGCCGTTCTGTAGTGAGTTTTTGATGGCCCAATGTTCTATGCTGTCAAACGCCTTTCGGAAGTCTATGAATGCCATGTATAATGGGATTTGATACTCGTTCGACTTTTCAATCAGTATTTTTACTGTTAGCAGATGGTCGCTAGTACTAAAACCCTTTCTGAATCCCGCTTGTTCTCTTGCTTGGTATTCGTCAAGCTTATAGTGATAATAATTAAAATAAATTTTGTGGAAGTTTGAAAACAAAGTTTTCAGTGTTTTATTGTTACATTATTTGATGTTGGTTAGGTTGAGTGTTTTTATTTTTAATTTTTCCCATTGTGGAATTACTAATTTACAACTTTTAAATCGAATATAGTTGTAAATGAAACGGCGATATTGAGATACAAAAATACTTTTGAAAGAATTTATAATAATGAAATTAAAAAAAAATCAATGTGATTGGAATTTAAGAATATTTATTTCAATATAGAAAGCACTTTAACAGAATAACGTTTTAACACTTCGTAGGTACTTATTTTTTTACGGTTTGTAAAATTTAACTTTTTTATTTCCAGTTTTCTTTTACAGTTTTCAAAACTAATTTGCTTATTAATTTCTCGCAATCTTATGTAGCTTCTGGTACGACTAAGGCAATAAATAACTTCATAAGGTATATTTACTTCATTACCAAGCTTGGCAACAGTACGGTCAGCTATCAATGAAAATACTTTTTCTCTTTAGAAAGTGACGTTCCATGCATTAAATTGAACTCTGTTTCCAGTACTTCTGCAGTTTTCATTAAATCACCACTTTGATTTAAAAGGCCACCTGTTGAAATACAAGTTAACCATTCATTGGACTTGTTTGTTGTGACCAACTCGCAGGTGGAGCCTAAGTATTTATATTTATTTTTAAACTTATAAGCAACATATCCTGCAATATATTTTAGAGCTTCTTTGTTAACAGTTTCTTTGCATTCAAACTGATGTAGCAACTGTAAATGTTCAATGTTAGACCTGGTTTCTAATACAGTTATTTCGGGGTAGAGAGGCTCGATGAAAGAGTTTGAAGTGCTAATTTCTTCGTCAAAAAAATTAGAGTCAATAGGTGTAAGTATTGATACGTTCTTGAACATGTTTCCTGTCAAATAGTTATTTTCATCTACAATTTGTAATTGGTCATGACTAGATTTAAAAGGGGTCAATAAACAATGTTCACCGTGTTCTTCTGTATTTCTATTTTCAGTAAAAACAGCAGCTGAATTCTTACCTAATATGAACCATCTAAGGCGATATTTAAATTCTAGGGGATGGGGATGATCATTAGTAGCTCCCATGCCCCTTATATAAGAAACAAAATTTTTCAAGAACATCTTGGTTTAAACTTGATTTTAAAATATATTCTATATTACAATTTTTATGTAGATAAACAAATAATTCTGCCATTGACCTGTTTGTTAAAAGAATACTCTTTTGAAATGGAATTAAAGACTTTCTATTTCTCACACACATGGTGCTAATGATGTCTGACACTTGCTGTAATAATTTTTTCTGATTTTCTATGTCTATACCAAATGATTTTTTTGTTGGTACAAATTTTGATCTAGAATTTAACAAGTCAAACCAATTATTTATTAAAAGTGCAAATTCAGAAGCTTCTTTCCAAGGTACTGTCGGTGGCATAAAATCATTGTGTCCACAATACTTTATTGCCTTTGATACAGTATTAGAAAAAAGTTGAACAGCAGGTCTGACCTTTGGTCTCTGAGCACCTTTTAGATCAAAATGTTGTAGATGTGTTAAGCAATTATTCAAAACATGTTTTGTCAATTAAAGTATCGTTAATCCAAAAACCGTGATCTAGTAGGTGATTTCGCAAAAGTGCCGCATTTCCTGTACCCATATCACTGACTACAGAAACTACTATAAATCCAACAGAATAAAGTTTCTCAATTATTCTGTCATGGGTTGATCAAAATTATAAAATACAGGTTGTTTCCATTGTCCAATAAGACTTCGTACCATTACCACTTGACAATTTTTATTACCTTTTCTTCCTTCTTCTCGCTATCTACTCTGTTAGATAGATATATCTCATCGAACGATAAGACACACAGTTTTTCATTAGCATTGAACTCATGACATTTTTTGCCCATCAACGTAATAACATCACTTAATATACCCGGTTCTAATGAAAATGAGGAAGCCCATTTTCGTAAAGTAAAAAGCGCCGGCAAGGGGTAACCTAATGACCTAAGATATCGATACGCTTTAGGACTAACACTGCGCAATGAAATAGCGGATGCTATGTCTTCTGGGACCATCGCAATTTTTTTCTTTCGGGGTGTAATGTCCTTTCTATCTGGCCAGTAGTAAACAATTTTCCTAACAAAGTTTTTACATTATCAGTTTCTTCTCTCATCTTTTCTATAATGCTAGTTAGTTTGGAATTTTCTTTTTGTAGATTAAAAATTGTTTGCTGAAGTTCTGCTATTTGTCGTTGATTATTTCTAAAAATGTTATAGAATTACTTAAATAATTATTTTTTTAAAGGCCTAAATAATATCAAATAACTTACGAAGATGGCACGTTTATATTCTCCTTTTCTTCCAGCTCATTGTTGCTTAAATTATTAATTGGTTGCAAAATATTATCAACACTACATCGCCTTCTTTTTACCAATCTTTCGGATCTTAATGAATCCGTAACTAATTGTCTTTTTACAGGAAGGTTTAAAGTTGGTACAGCATCTTCCTTCAAGTTTCTACTTCGTGGCGTATAATTCAAAAATTGTTTTTTGAAACAAATCTCAAAACACACATTCTCAAAATGTGTAGAACAAATTGTAGCTAAAAGGCAACATTTCTTATATATTATATATATATATATATATATATATATATATACATTGAATTTATATTATTCCAAATAATATTACCATTTTTTAAATTTATGTTGTCTGCTCGACTGCAAGCTATAATCCATTTTTTAGAAAGTTCATTATCTTTCGTAAATTTGAAATACCTAATGTGAGTTCATTTTGTTTTTTACATGTTGGTTATAATTTCCGCAATTTGCCACGGCACACGACGGCATTTTAAATAGGTATAATAATTTACACGCTCCTTTAATCACCTATCGGATAGTTAACATAATATAAATAATTATATTTCAATAAAATACAAGAAAGCTTTTGTTTGTACATTATTTATTAAATATGTATGTAAATATATAATGTCAAAAAAGGTAGCATAAAAATTAGTGCTTACCTATGTAGGCCTACTTAGTAAAAAAATCAGTAATAGATTTTTTGTTTACAAGATGAAATTCTGGATTTAGCTGCAATGTTCCTCCATTTTTTCATCCACACGATGTCCATCGGTGTTGATGCTGAGTTCTGCTCAATGTACTGAAGGCCAATTTCAAAAGCATTCTTGGCATCGGTGTGTGAAATCCGGACAGGAGGCTCGTCATCATCATCACTGTCGGATTCTGAGTTCACGATTCCGTCACCGTCACGTTCCATAACAGCGGCAACAATTTCGTTATCGTTCAGCACTTCACTGGTTTCGCAGTTTTTGTCACATTGTTCAATCCACTCCTCAACTTCACTAGCAGGTATATTTGCATCCAGGGTCTGAAGATTGGTAACGATTTCCTGCACGTCGTTTTGCTCATCTTCGACCTGGTCAATTTCGATCATAACTTCTGGCCAAAGCTTACGCCAAGATTTTCTTAGCGTGTCAGGATTTAGTTCTGCCCAAGACTCAGCCATTGTATAGATAGCATCTTTAATGTTGAGTTGTAACAAAAGTGCTTTGTGCTGTGGCACGCCAATGTAACAAAACGTGTAGGATAATGGAAATGATAACATATAATTTAAGCTGGCTAGCAGAAGGTGCCGGAGAGTGACTACTTGACACTCAAAGGAGAATTCGGCCAATTTGCATGCCCTACAGAGACCGTAGAATTAGAAGATGAATGACGAGTTAGTAAAAAAACTATAGGTATACAAATAAGATAAATAAAAATGATTATAGAAGTTGCTCCAAAATGTGAGTGGGCGCCAGGAAAGTATTTACATAAACTTTCCAAGGTATCTTGTAAAGCTGTTTGCTAAAATAAAGAAAGGATATAGGTATGAATTGAAATATTTAGTTTTCACCAAAACTTTAATCCCTAGCCAAATATATACAATCTAAATTTAATATACCCACCACCAATTATGTACAGCTAATCTAGTTATATACAAAAAATAAATGCCCTGGTTATACAACTGATCCTGGATGATCTAAATTTACAAATAATAAAATATGGAAAAAAAAATGGTAATAACTGACCTAAAAAGGTAATTTATTTGCCTCAGAGATGCAACTCTGTATTCTGGCTTTATTGAATATAAGAGTACCAAGTAATAAGGACACTATCTTGATGAGATAAGTGTCCAAACGTTTAAATATATATTGATAATAAAATCTAAAAAATATAACTCTCTGATTAAATGTGTACACAAGAAACCATACAAGTGAGTTAGAAGGGAGGACTTAAAAACCTCTACCTGTAGTTGACAATTTGTATTTAAATATTATTCAATAAATTATTAAAAAAAATGACGACTCTTATTATTATATGAAATACTAGAAGTTAAATATACAAAAAATTTATACAAAAAATATCATAGGTAAAAAAATTAATCTAAGAAATAAACTTAATCCAGATTTACTATATTTTAAGGGAGATAATTCCCGCTGGCTTCCTAAGATTTTCGTAATCGGAAGGTCAGATCTGGACCTCTGGAGAGCAGCTACGGCAAGGAAAAAAAACAGGCCTGGAACCAGGTATAACCGGACTAGGTTTCAAGTTAATCGACACTTCTTATTCAAATTTAAAAAAAAAACAAAAGCAAATTCTTCCCCCGACTTCTGTTGGAATCCCAAAGGTAGGCTAAAAAAACATTTCTTTTAGAGTTTTTTCTTATACTTTACAGAGGAGGAAAAAAAAACAAGGTTTATGAACCTTGAAAGGTTTTATAAATGTTACTTATGAATTGTGAGAGCAAAAAAAACTTAATGGATTTATAGATAATTTGATCGTCGTATGGTTTGACAATTTAAATGGATTAATTATATCGACAATTTTAATGAAAAGCATATGATACGAATTTATTTTATATTATAAAGAGCGATATAAGACAGAATATTTTAACGATACTGGTAATAGCAATTTTACCGATAGATAATTATGTTTTACGGCCGGGAAATAAAATTAAAATACATATGATTTTAGATCAATTAACACTATCTATTTAGATGTTGAATATTTCTTAATGACGGATGGAAAAAGTTCAGATAAGTATATCGAATTGAAACGTGACAATACAGGATCTCAAAATGGCTGATGACTTTTTTTTATTGTCGTTTTATTTATAACTTGGATACTTACGGCTCACAGTGGCTATAAACCAAATAGGACACTTCAAACAAAAAACCCCAAACTAAAACTTCTTATTACTTCTTCATAAAAAAACTTAAATTCCAAAAACCACGCCACGTGGCCCCTACCTTGGACTTAAGTTTCTGCTACCAAAGTTCAAACAGAAGTGCGATTCGGATACTCAATTTGAGCCAGCTAAACTATGATTTCAAACTTGGACGCTTGGTGTCGCTGTTTCATACCAACTTAAATTTTTAAGATTCAGAAAATCATTAAGAGGATTGAGATTTTAAATTTATTTAAAAAATGTTTCCGGAATGTTATAGTAACGTTCTCGTTACAGAGTGATTTCATGGCTTGGAAAATATCACATCCTTCTTCGGATTTTTCTAAAATCGAGCTTATGTATTTTCGGCGATAACGCCTTTTAAAACATTCTATCACGCCCTGGTCCATAGGCTGGATAAGTGATGTGACATTTGGTGGGAGGAAGATAGCTTTTATATCCCCTTTTACTAAATCTTCCTCAGAAGGGTGCGATGGTGCGTTGTCTAATAGCAGTAGAGCTCGAACAGGAAGATTTTTTTTCGTCAAGTCCTTCTCAACACATGGCACAAACTCGTCAAAAAACCAAGATTTGAAAAGATTGCAGTCCATCCAAGCAGATTTTTGGTTGCGATAATAAACCGGCACGGATGATAAGTTTATGTTTTTGAAAGCCCTGGGCTTCTTAGATTTGCCTATGACAAACAGCGAAAGCTTGTGTGTTCCATCAGCATTGCTACAAGGAGCAACAGTTAGCCTATCTTTCATGAGTTTCGTTCCCGCTACGGTTTCATTTGACGCACTTAAGGTTTTGTTTGGAAGCATTTTATAGTTTAGGCCTGTCTCGTCTATGTTATAGACTTGGCAAGGTAACAGTTCATTTTCTTTTACAATTTGTTGAAACTTCACAGAAAACTCCTTAGCCGCCTCGACGTCAGCAGATAATTTTTCACCACAAATTGAGACAAACCGGATACCATGACGGGTTTTCCAACGATCAATCCAGCCTTCACTGGCTTTAAATTCACTTCCGACTTCTAGTTTTTTGTGCAAAATTATTGCCTTTTCTTTTATAATTGGGCCAGATATCGGAGTTCCCTTCCTTCTTTCTTGACTGAACCACATCCATAGAGCACTATCAAGCAGTTCAAGTTTAGGCTTTTTTAATGTTTTTCGCTTTTTAAGAGCGTTTTCTCCATCTACTATCGTCATTGTATGTGATTCAATTTCTTTTCGATTTTTTCTCCAATCCTTAATAGTCGTAACGCCTACATTCAGTTCCTTGGCAATTTTTTGTAGTGATTCACCTTTGTCCAGCCTTTGAAGCACTGCAAGTTTTTCACTTAACGAACGCGTAACGTGTTTACGTTTTGCTCCTGACATGTTGAAAATAATGTACACACTTTAACTCACAAAGTTCGAAATAATACTGACAGAATGGATTGTGATTTTCGGAGAAATTTTCGTCGTAAACAAATCGACCGCCGGGGATTTCCGCGAAGCCAAGCAGGTCGGATTACCCGGAGCGTCGGACTATCCGAGGGCGGACGAGAGGGGTTCTACTGTACTTTCCTTATTTAAGATTAGGGGATCGTGGAATTGGAAGGTGGCGGTTGGTTAATGAAAGAGATTGTAACGTTGAAATATATCTCCCTTTGAATAAAAAGCGATCTGTTTCAGCATTCAGCAGCGCGTTTTTAAAGTTTTAATTTCTTAACTATATGTATACTTAATGTCTAACAAATCGGTTTACATATGACCTAATTCATAAAGCGTATGCGACGGCAACTAATAGTTAGGACAACTATTATTTAGTAAAAAATAAAATAAAATCATATTTACGATATATTTCAAATAATTAAAATGTTAATGTAATTATAGATCGTTTAAATGATAATTTATATATTTTAGCTGCAAGAAATAGCCCAAGAATATTTTACGTGTGAAGAGAATATTGTAGCAAATATACTTGCTGTTCATCTTAAGTTGAGACGAACAGGTAAGGGAATAATCAATTATCAAGTTGATTAAAAAATGTACTCATTTGAAGATAAACTAGCAATAATAAAAGTGTTCAATAATAAAATGTCAATTCTTTATTTAGCGTAAGATATGCCAACAGACCAATTCCAAGTCATACAAGAGCTACCAAGAAATTTAGAAAATCAAAATTAAATAAATGTATTAACAGCAGTAGAAGAAAATCCTAGAATAAGTTCTCGGACCATTGCAGGCAGTTTAATATTTATAATTCCACGGCCTTAAAAAATTCATTCAATGTCATTAAGAACTAAGAGAAGGAGACGCTAAGAGGCGAGCGGAATTTTAGTATTAAATTTTAGGGAGGGCTAATGCAGACAGACAATTAAAAAAAATATTTTGTTAGAAAGCTGTACCCAATATCGTCGAAAAGTAAATGTCTGGTTAGGAATATTTAGACAACTATTATTGAACCATTTTCTATGAGTAAATGCTCCGAATGCTTACCGAGACTTGTATAAATAGCTTCAGATAAAGAAGAAATTTGGTTTCAAATGGATGGATGCCCCGCTCATAATAACTGGGACGTTGAGTAATTTCTTAAAAACAGCTTTAATAATTGTTTAATTGGACTTAACTGTATCATTAAGTGGCCTCTGAGATCGGGAGATCTAGCTCCAAACGTTTATTTTATCTGGGGGCATGTACAATCAAAAATCTATTCTGACCAAAAATTTACAGATATTGAAGTATTAAAAATGCCAATTATTGAAGTGTGCCTAAATAACGCCACGCGTTCTGATTAATGTTGGACGAGAATTTTACAATCGATTGGGATACTGTTTAATGCAAAAGGCGGATTGTTTGAACATTTGTTACAGTTTTATCTTTAGAAATTATCATAAATTATTTTTATGACAGGAATAAGGATCACAGTATATTGAAATTCTTTGAATTGTTGTATAACCTGGATTTGAATTGGAAGGTATTAGAATATCTTATGTTAAATAAAGACAGTGCTCGCACTATTGCCTGAATACAACATTATTGCGATTTTTCGTCAACATTTTATTAAGTTAATATTTGTTCAGTAGTAGTAGTATAATTTAGTAAAATGTATTGTTTATAATTTAATTATAAAATAACAATATTAAGAATTCAAACATTGTCAAACATCTTAAATCAATATTATCAAATATGTCATACACATTCTTGCACTACGTGTGGCCTGAAAAATGTATTATATTTTAGCAAAATTTTGAAGTACATTTAATTCGTAGAACAATTTTAATATTTGTTTCAATACAGATTTCAGTTCTCTGCAAATAGGCTCTTCTTACGACTTTTGATGTAAAATAATTAGGGAAGCCGAAATTCAACAATTTAGAATTTTCCATTGAACTTCCTATGGCCCGTTTGATGATTTACTACCCGGTATATATATATATATACTATATATATATATATATATATATTATATATATATATATATATATATATATATATATAAATTCTATACTAAATCTAAGTAGTAATAGTAGTAGTGCAGAACTAAATCTGACTTTTGCCGAAAAATATTTCATTTTATTATATGTTCACAAAGTACTTATAAGATTGTACTTATACAAGTCATCTGACTGTTGACTTCAAAATATTATAAGTTTTCTGTTTAAATAAAATCCAATAATTATAAAAATTTTAAATTATCTTTTACACAATAATTAGGTATTGAGTAAATGCTTTTTACCGTAAAATCGTTGTTTTTCTATGATATAGCTATATAACTATTATTTTCAGCAAATTCCTTGATACATAAACACTTAAAATCTACCTGCAATCTAAAATCGAGAGTATTTAATCAAAAAACAATTTTCCAAACAAAAACAGTTTGGGCAAATGCTTCAGCATGTTCACAGAAGCCCAAGCCACATGATTGTGATTTACTGGTAGACAAGAACATACAGCACTATTGTGCTGACTTCAAGACTGAAACTTGTTTAGAATTATTTCCTAAAATTGTAGATGATTTTCCTTGTAAGGAAAAAGTTAAAATTGCTGATGATATATTAAAAACTTCTATGATTACAGGTAAGTAAACAATTTTTACTGAAAACTTAATATTTATAAATATTTTTTTATTAAAACGATATTGTACAATATATGCTACTTTTTGATACAGATAAGTATAATCAAAAATTAAAACATCCTTTTTGGACATTATATCGATACATTTTTGGCAAAGTAACGTAAGTCACCAAAAACGATTTGTAGAAAAAAACAATTTTTTAATTCAACCAGGTTAAACTTATTTGAATTATGACTGAAAAAAACTTGCTCTACTTGTCCTAAAAAAGGTTTAAAGTAATTCTAGGCTTACTACACTCTTTCAGTACCTTTTTAACAGTAATAGCATTAGTTTAATTGAAAAACATTATTTTCGCTAAAAATGTTACTTACGTTACTTTTCCAAAAATGTATCGATATATTAATTGTCTTCTTTTAACAACTTTAACCAGAGTACATTAGGAGTAAGCTGGCTAATCTATCTTTCCTTTGTATACATTATGTAAGGAACAGAATATAATAAGTCATCAGGCTTTCATAAAGATATACCATCTTGCTATCACAATTTTTGTTGTCTATCTGGTTTGTTAGGTTCAATCATTGCGTTGATTTCCAATAACAGCGTACATGTGTTCAGCATCAGAACGTTTTCAATTTGTAATTTAACTGAGCCGCTACCGTCCACCGTGCTTCGGAGGAGACATAGAGCCGTCGGTCCCGGCATCGTAAGTGGTTTTCACATTGTTCACATAGGCACTTTCGATCATATTTTGGAAATACCGAAAATCTTCACAGATGTTGAATTGGTTGGTGTTATTGCATAATGGAATAAAAAAATTCAGTTTAATAGACTTTTTTTTGTTTTGGTGATATTAATGATAAATCCAACTTTAGATGACTCGGGAACCAAAAGGTTGTTTTGATAAATATAGCTTTACCTTGCCCTTGTATTCCTTATTTCTAGTTTTGTCGCTTAGGTTTGTCTTTTGTTTGACTTGTTTTGTACGCAATTTTTAATTTATCCATAAATTTATGGGCCCGCGTAGCGCAAGCGGTAGTGTGCTTGCCTCGCATGCCGGTGGTCGTGAGTTCGAATCCTATACCGCCGGCAAGAACAACTAGGCATTTTTAAAATGTCTATAGGCCCCCAGGTCGACTCAGCCTGAATAAAATGAGTACCTTGGGTGAAACCAGGGTAATAATAGGCGGTTGAAGCGTAGCACTGGCCATGTTACCTTCCTTGTATACCGTATGCCCTAGATATAGCAGACTACCCTGCTATACTCCCAAAGCCGCGTGCGGTATAAAACGGGAGACTATTATTATTATACATAAATTTATTACTGAGTGATCCGGAACGGGGTGATTAGGTGAAATCAGCATTAACAAAACAGGTTTATATTACCGAGTGATAAGAATTTAGAAGAGTAAGTAAAACAACAGCATTTTATGAGTAGGGAAACTATAAATCTTGTCGAATTTATAACTACTGTAAAATCCTATATATCCGTGTGCAAGTGCATCTCAAGTATATGGGAGGGATGACCCATTAATTTAAAAATTTGTAGTGGTTGTCAAAAATATAAGAACACACTTTGTAAATAACATTATTCGACAAAAATCACGTTTCATTCAATCAAGATTCCTTAAAATTGTCTCTCTACATACACTTTATATGTATTGTTTTGAAGCTATTTTCTTGTGACATAATACAATTTACTACTTTTATTGGCAATATGGCACAAATTTACTTTAAACTTAGTTTGCATTGACGTTTCGATTTCCACTTCGAAGATTTTGAGAACTATTTCACTATAAGTGTAAATCTAAACGTCAAAATAAACTTATTTTATAGTAAAATTGTGCATTATTTCCAATAAAAATAGTAAATCCACAACTTTTACGCAAAGATCTGTTCTATGACAAACTCAGGAGAAGGCGATGTACAGTTTTCGTGTGTCGAATAAACCGAGTTTGATAAATACATCCCAACGCGCACCAGTGTATGATCTCGGGAGTTCTTGAATTGCCATAGCGAAACCCCGATATATATATATATATATATTATATATATATATAATATATATATAATATATATATATATATATATATAATATATATATATATATATATATATATATATATTTTTAACCTATTCTCTATCCTTCCATTGTTGGATATAGGTCTCCCCCAGTTCTCTCCATCTTTCCCTATCTTGAGCTGTTCTCTGCCATGTGGGACCTCCTTGTTTCCTGATGTCATCTTTCCACCTCATCTGTGGTCTGCCTCTTGATCTCTTTGCATTGTATGGACGCCACTTTCCGATGGCATTGTTCCATCGTCCGTCTTGGAGACGTTCATTGTGTCCAGCCCATTTCCATTTCAGTTTTGCTGCTTGTTCTATCGCGTCTACTGTCTTTGTTCTGGTTCTGATCCACTGGTTACGTTTTCTATCTCTAAGTGATACACCCAACATTTGTCTCTCCATCGCTCTTTGTGCCTTCCTTATCCTATCCAAATTGGCCTGTGTAAATGTCCATGTCTGTGCTCCGTAGGTGAGCACCGGTATGATACAGGAGTTATATACCTTGCTTCGTAAGTATAGAGGGATTGTTTGATTTTTAGAACGTAAGAAAGTTTGCCGAACGCTGCCCATCCCATTCTTACTCGTCTCGATATTTCGGCTGTTTGATTTTCTCTATTAGCTCTGATTGCTTGTCCTAGATATATATATATATATATATATATATATAATATATAATATATATATAATATATACAGATTATATACAGATTGAACGAAATAAATTCGGAACATAGGAATATAATGTATTTCGGCTCAATTCTGCTGTAGGTGGTTGGCCAACAAAATATTGTCAAATAATTATATTATAAAAATCCAATACTTCAGCGGGCTGCTGGATTCTGAACTCATAAAAATTGAAAGCTACACATAAATCTACGATTTATGCTGTCAAACCAGTTATAGTCCAGGAAATGAAGCATTTCACCTCGCAATTTTTTCGTGCTCCCTGGATTGACTTGAAATTTAACAGAAGGTAGGTAATAGCCTAAGGATCAAAATCTATATCGAACCAAAGTGCGCCAAAGCCTAGGGGGTGGTTGCCACCCCATCTCCGGGGTGAAATTTTTTTTACGTTTTAACTACAGGTTTCGATTAAAAAAGTGATTCTAAACAAAAAATGTGCTATACATTTTTTTTATAAAATGATATTTTTCAAGTTATCCGCGATTGAAAGTAATAACTTTTAGACGAAAAAATCCACGTTTTTAATCGATTTTTCGCGAATAATTCGAAAATGGTGCATTTTATCAAAAAAATTGTAGAGAACAAATTTGTAGCTTTTAAAAAGACAAATACAATTCATTTTTTAAAATGTTTTTGGGATATAATAGGAACCGAAATACGGCCTATCAATGTTCAGCGGTTTTCTTCAAATGCCAAATTTGAAAGATTCAAAATCAAATATCGGGAAAATGATGCATTTTTGGAAGAAAACTCACAAAACCTTTTTTAAAGAGCATAAATAGACCTATCATAAAAAAGACTCTAGCTCAAAAATTGAGTGAGTTATGATGAAAATAAGGTCAATACCTCATTTTTTACGAAAAAATCGATAACAACACCCTAACCACCTCCATAATTAAAATCGATCTTTACCCTTCTGAAATTCCCTTTGTACATGTATTGTTAATACGTCCAAGAAGTTTGACCCATTTAAAATGCTTTGTGTTAGAAAAAGTACAGCTTAAAGCGAGAAACGATTTACAATTTCATATTTTTTACCCTTCTTTTTTTAAATATGCCCGAAAATACTGAATATATGAAAAAAATACAAATTACCAAATTGTAGCTTTTTTAATGACTAAAATTATCCTTCATTTAGATTTGTTGTACAATGAATATTTGGCGAGATATAGCCGTTTAAAGCATCGATTTACGATCAAGCACCATCTTTTTCGAGCCCTTTAAACTCACCCCATTTAAAAACCAAGGGTTCCAAAAAGATTTAATTCACAGATCCTTGTAGCTCTTAAAAACCTCTACAAATCGTTTTTGAAGAAACACTCTATCGTTAAAAATTAAAAGAAATACGTTAAAAAAACCAGTGAATTTTTTTCCGGAAAATTCTATTAGTATAGTACAGTACATTTCGGAGCATAATAATCTACAAAACCGGTATATTAGCTAGTGGGGCGTTATACATTCGAAATTTTAAGCGTTCTTATTTTGAAATCCCATACAACAGAATAAAACATCTGCTCATATGTCTATGGCTTGGCAATGAAAATATTAGAGCAACAGATTGGGGATGGTATTCCAAAGATGGTTTGTTATTACCCGTACGCATGAACAAACAACCTGCACTCGATGAACTTTTGAAAATTATTTTTTGGCAATGCAAAAAAGGATGCGGTGTTTCATGTGGGTGCAGAAAAGTTGGTTTATACTGTAACTCTACTTGTTCTGGGTGCTCAGGTGAAGGGTGCAATAATAGTCCACCAATAATTGAAGATGAGGATGACATAGATCACGATGAAGATGTAATTGATGACGAATAAAATTAATATTATAATTGTTTTACCTATAAATGTAAATATTTTCTACTATTTATGTAAATGTATAAGAATATATGGTGCCTTTTTATGTTGATAAATTTTTTTGTATTTAATTCTACTTTTTTCAATTTATATCTTATAAATTAGTTTATAAAAACTGCAATGTTGTAAAGGGTGATTTTCAAAAGTTGAAAAGTTGCAAAATTTTGGCAAAAAATTGTTTTCACCTATAGCACTCATAACAATTGATTTTTAAGGGTTGAAAATGTATGAATTTGTATTTTAAAGTATAAAAAAATCAATATTTAACTAATCCAAACCAAATTTCACTCATCTTAAGATTTATAATATTATTTTACAATTTTTAAAAATTAGGGTAGTTTTCATCCCTAAGAACAATCAGGGTTCATCGGCATGACATAAACTATAAAGCAGAGGGTGAGTTGAGCTTAAGTCCAAATTTTTATGCAAATCGTTCCAAGGTGAAATCATTTTCTTCGCATTACTAATTTTTTTATATTAATCTCTAATAAGGGTCGCTTTTTAAGGGTTGAAATATGATGGAACTTTATTCAAAAGCACGAAACTATCATTATTTAATTAATTCAAACCAAATTTTACCCATATTCAGGTTTAATATGTTATTTTATAATTTTTGACAATTACGGGTAGTTTTCACCCCTTAGAACAATCAGGGTTCGTCGACATGACATAAACTATAAAGCAGCGGGTGAATTGAGCTTAAATCCAAATTTTTATCCAAATCGATCCAAGGCGAAATCATTTTTTTAGAATTAGTAATTTTTTTACATTAATCTCTAACAAGGGTTGCTTTTTAAGGGTTGAAATATGATGGAACTCTATTCAAAAGTATAAAATAATCATTATTTAACTAATTCAAACCAAATCTTACCCATATTCAGGTTTAATATGTTATTTTATAATTTTTGACAATTAGGGGTAGTTTTCACCCCTAAAACCCTTCAGCGCACTTCGGTTCGATATAGATTTTGATCCTTGGGCTATCACCTACCTTCTATTAAAATTTCAACGGGATACATGCAGGACGAAAAAATTGCGAGGTTTTAACTTTTTTCGAGATTCATTTCCTGAACTATTATCGTTTCCTTAGACAAACCCGTCTTACGCAAACAACATTGTTGTGAGACAGATAGTTGAACGATATTTTATACAATGTCTATACCCAGGTATGGATTTATTTTTGTCCAAGTTTTATATTGGTCCACTATTTCAAATGCAGTTCAAACAGACATGTATTAAATTGTATGTTCCGTTTTAATTTGGTTCAATCTGTATATATATATATATATAATAAGGATCACTCGAAGAGTGGCGGTTTTTCGGTCAAAAATTGGAGAAAAAATAGAAAAAAGACAAAGATGATGGCTACTTCATCTATTTATTGAAAACGTTTCGCTATCTAATTTGATAGCATCATCAGTTCATCTAAAAAGAACAATATGAAAAACCTAACATCCAATGAAAAGTTATTAAGTATGTTACCTCAAAAAGATATGTAGCAGTCAATGATATTAAAATTTTAAAGAAGCTTACGACAATGGACATTGTAAATTATGTTGTATAAACAATAAATTGAACTAAATATAGTTAACAATTTTCATAAAATTAGCACAGCAAAAGACATGTGGTAGTTGTACATGTATGTAAAAAAAATTTAAGTAAAAATTTTATTATATAAAAAACACAATTAATGTGGAGAAGAACTAAAAGATCTAAGATGCACTTCCAACAGTAAATCAATCATTAAGATTTCATTTTGACTTTAGGTAGCATTATTCAAATGATTAATTAAAAATTTAGTAATTTAAAAGTAATAATGAAGTTACCACTGCGAGCTTGTCGACTGCTGCCGGTGAAATGAAGGCAACAGGTGTTAAACGTCAACAACGTGAAAAGACAGATGCCAAGAGGTCAACGAGTGACAGAACTACAAGGCGTATTACTACCAACTCTAATACAATAGAGCGGTTTATTTAAAAAATATGACAAATTTGGTCGACAACCTGTCTGTGAAAACCAAAAAATGAAAGGAAAAAGGTGGTTGAGAACTCCATTTTCCCTCCAGTGATCGGTTGAGATGAACAAAGAACAAACAAGAGAGGTCAATCCAAAAAATCATATGTTAATAGTCTACGTTGTGACTGGTTAGCCAGCCACAGGGGAAGGATGATTAAACTTCCAACAGTCCAAGGTTCATAACATTTGGAACTGAAATTAATAGATAGTTTAAAGTAAGAGTTTATTATTTAATTTATTTTAATTTATATTTGAAAATTATTTAAAAAGAAATTATGTAAAGAAAACACCTTAGGTGACAATATTTAAAGTAAATAACATAGCAAGCCTAATTCTGCAATATTAGAGCATGATAAATTTGGCTCAAGTTACTAATGTCAGTTCTCTTATTAAGAGTATTAGGGTGTTTAAGTAAATGACACATTTCTAAAAACTGCCTTTTAACGAGATTGCGTTCAGAACCAAGAATCTTAACTTCATTAAAATCTACTCTGTGTTTTAGTGTTGATAGCATGTTGTGCAAGGGCACAAGTATGCTTGGATAAGTTGATATCACTGCGGTGCGTCGTAAGACGCCCTCTCAGTGATCTCCCAGTCTAACCGATGTAGCGCGAGTCACACTCAGCGCAAGGTATATGATAAATGACATTAACTTCTTCCAGAAGGGACAAGGGTGTTTTAGTTTTTTAGGCATGTAAGGTGAAAATGTGCTCATCGTCTAGGATGATTTCGCTCGAAAAATCAGCATCCACTTATTGATGTTCAATAATCTATTCAATGCACTCTCTTCGCTGTGCGAATGTTTCAGTTTCATTAGGTTTCAGTTCCTATGGCAATTGAACTTTGTAAGCATGAAAATGCAGATCTTTAGTGATTATACTTATAATTAATTTATATGGATTGACAGAGCCTTAGGGCCGGTAGTTACTAAACTTTGTATTTATTTGGAAGACATTTAATAAATAATATTTGTATAGCTGTTCGACCTACTTTGGTCATTTCCAAGGGTATTTTATTATATGTAGCAGAATTGGAAAATTGTGGATGTTATTAATTTCTGACTTCAGTTTCTTTAGTTGAAAGTTATGTGTGAAATAAGTTGAAGGTGTCAACCTATTTTTTCCATTTCTAAAAAAACAATAACACATCTAGTACTTTATTTTTAGGTGTAGGTGACTATAGATCTCCAGAAAATCTCCAAAAAGTTTTACACAGAGAAAGATGTAAACAATTCATAGCAGCCGAAACGTATCATCCCGCAATATTTTCGAAAAACTTTCCTTCAGAGAAAAATATTAGTATTGCAGGATTGTCTTGTAGAAGTAACAAAAGTTTGTCATTTGTAGCAATGGACAGTCTGCTCCATTATTATTTTGCTCGCCAGCTTGGAATCGATTTGAACAACGAACCAGATAAAAGCGCTGTAGTCATTTTAAATGACAAGGTAAGTGTTTTAAAATGTTTCAAGGGGCGTCCTATACTACTTCTGCCTTTCCATTTGTAATTATTATTTGTTTAGTTAGTCGATTGTCGTACATTATTTTCCAAAACATTGTCGTTACTATGCCTGCACTTTTGAAAACCGTGTTTTGTTCCTATAATGGCTTCTGTAATATTTTTTAATCTATTGTTACCAATTTTTGAGTATATTCTATAGAGAATACGTTCATCCTTTATAGTTTTCGCAAGTTACGGTCGACTTTTTTAAAGAATGATATAACTTTGTATAAGGCGAATGCCTTTTAGGAACCTGTAATAAGGATCATTAACTCTTTAGTCCATAACAGTTCCTACTCCAACGGTAAGTACCTGCTTTGATAACATCTCTATATCATTATCATAGAATCAAGTATTAGCAACTAATGTATCTTGAGCTAAGGTTTTTACTCTCGTCCGAGAAACTAACGACGAACCTGATTCGTTAAATGTTGTGTGGCCATCATGTTCTATTCCTCCAACAAATAATTCTATTTCTCCTGCTTTACGTATTTTCTTTTCGAATTTTTGACATTCACCAGCTAGATCTGCAGCATTCCTATCCAATAAATGAACGTTATTAGGTTATTATATCTATATGTTTAAAAAAATTATTCTACATGTAATAATGATAGCTTTCAGTGTGTTCTTTCCCTTGCTTCTGAAATTATATCAGCTTTTTTTACATTCCTAGTGGGGTGTTTCCTGTTGGGAGTCCGAGAACAAAATATTTTTCGCGAGATGGATTAAATTCTTGTATCCTTTTCATTATACCTATATGTAGCTGCCTATTCAGCAACCTCTTCAACTTTATCCAAAATAATTAATCTCATATTTACACGATTTATTATTTAACCATCAACACAAAGAACTGTAATTTGAACTGAACTAGCACACTTTTTTTTCAAATACCCAATTCCAATCTCGTAACTGTATCACTGTTTACTGATTATTTACGTTAATTAGTTGATATGGATGTAGATATCGATATGTTTTTAAAATAGATTAAAGTTTTGCTTGTCTGGGTAATATTAAATTATTTTCTTCTTTCATCGTAGTTTAAATACAGTTACTTCCGCAGTATACGTATACTCGTGCATAAATGAACTCTCCGTTCGTTTATGTACGAGTAGCTTTCTTTTCTAAGTGTTCACTTTTTGTCTAGAATTATAACTACAGCATTATATCTACTCCCCTGTATGTCATTGTGTAATAGTTTAAATTTATAGCTGCTTGTTTAATATCATCTATTAAACAATGGATTTTATTATTGCATGTGTAGCCTACATTTATTTGTTTGTCACATGCTGTTGATTTAAGTTGTAACAATTATTTGTTTAATGATATTTGTAATAATGCTTGAAGCGTGGAGATTGACATTGTAATTTATTAAAAGCATGTAATATTCAATTAGCATGTAATAGTCAATTCAAAACAGTAACAGTAACAGTAATTCAAAAAGCATGTAATAGTCAATTTGGAGATAAAAATGACAAGAGTTGTGCTACTTTATCTATTTAATGAAGACGTTTCGCCCACTGTTTAATGAGCATCATCAGTTCATCTTTAAAAGATCTGTAGCGTTAAAATGTTATTAATTTGATTTTATAATCAATCAATGTTGTCAACAGTTAAATTTAAAAAATTAATATAAAATTACATAAATTTGGAATCTTCCGGCGTTCAGATTAACGCTACAGATTTTTTAAAGGTGAACTGATGATGCTCAGTAAACAGTGGGCGAAACGTCTTCATTAAATAGATAAAGTAGCACAACTCTTGTCTTTTTTATCTCCAAATTAACCGAAAAAATCCCATTCACTTACGAGTTCATTTATATTATATATCATCACACGAAACATATCCAAGATAGTAACTGTTATATTTTACAGATGGAATCTCATTATGTACTCAGAAATCCAATTACAAGCGAGACCATTAAAGAAGTGATTTCAAATTTAACTAAAAACCATTTAAATAGATCCTTCAGTTCAGTAGCTACTTTAACACCGCCTTCTCGGGAAAAAATACAAGTTAAGACGGAAGTTATCGTTACTGAACTATATACTGATACATTCCTACCAACTATATTAGAGAAAGATAAGGTGAGTTGTTTACGTATCTACTTTATTTCGATATTTGGAGAATATATAGCTATTTTAGGAATTTAAGGAACATATTTTGTGTCAATGTAGATATTGATATTTCATCATGATTCTCATTATTTAAGATGTTACATAAAGGCTGACAGAATCTGATGTTTTTTGGTTAACCATTATTTTTAAACAGAATGGGCTTCGAAAAGAATAAAAAGTAAAATTAATATTAACGCAGGAAAGCTTCAATAATAAACAAACAACTGAGAAATTTATTTTTCATTTAATAATCTGTCAATGTTTGTGTGTTCTTAATTTTTTTTTTAATTAGTGTATTTAAAAAGCTTGAATATCGAAATAAAACAGTTCTGTTGTAATTTTTATATTTAATTATAATTTAATTTAAAAATTCAAAAGGATTAAGTTCAAACGTTTTCGGACTAATCAGTCCATATTCAGTGAACCCAAAAGCAAGAAATTCCACTAAATTAATATAAACGTAGGCGTAGGGTAAAATTTTGACTGCTATTTGCAAACATGTGGTAAATTACTTACTTTGTAGTACTTGCAAATTAACCTCAAAACCAAACAGTAGTTGTGTTTACATTGATTAAACCATACTTGAAAATATTAAATTACATGGCAATATGCCAATGACATTAGAGTATTAACAGGGAACATAAATCCCTACTCGAAAGAGTTTTCTACATCCGAACTGTAGGAGTGTGAAATGCCAACTAATCTGAGATGCCGGAATTGATATTGACGGTTTACAGTACCAGTACACTGATACTGTGCATGATGGTACATTTTTTAAAAAGTAAACCAGATCAACAACCCATATGTTGAATTCTATATAAATTTTAATTAGATTAGTTTATTAAAATACAAATCATTAGTTTCTTACAATAGAGACAGGAGTTATTATTTTTACCTGTTTATTTGTATATTATGAATTTACTATAAAATTAAATTCATCAGTAAAATTGGGAGCTGATTTTAGAAAAAGACGTAAATTAAAATATGATAGTAAGAGGAAGGAAGGAAGTGAATTAAGAAAGTTAAATAAATAAATAGTTAAATAGTGAAAGAAAACAAATTTTTCTTATAGACCCTAGCAGGGATTATATTGCCCTGTAGTGTAATTATAACTAGTTGTGTGTGAATAAATTAATGTTGATGATGAATAAAGTGAAAAAAATTATTGGAAATTTCATAGTCAACTTTAGTGTTGATTGTATATGTCTAAGGGGAATTGAAAAAGTGAGGGTTTTATAAGGTTGTTGATGCTTCTTCTTCTTCACGTGCCATCTCCGCTACGAAGGTTGGCTATCATCATGGCAATTTTGACCCTGGAGGCTGCCGCTCGGAGCAATTGTATGTAAGTGCAAGCAAACCACTCCCTGAGGTTTCTCAACCATGACATTCTTCTCCTACCTATCTACCTTCAATCTTTCCTTGCATAATTAGTTGTAACAGTTGATATTTATTCCCACGTGTAATATGTCCCAGGTACTGTAGTTTCCTCATTTTAACACTCAATACGACCTCCTTTTGTTTGTTCATCCTGTGTAATACAACTTGGTTAGTTATCTTATCCTTCCAGGAGATTTTTAACATTCTTCGGTACGCCCACATCTCAAATGCCTCCAGCTTACCCATACATTGCTTATTTAGTGTCCACGCCTCCACCCCATATAACAGGACCGAGAAAACATAACATTTAAGCATTCGTATTTTCAGCTTTAGGCTTAGGTTACGGCTACACAACATGTGTTTCATATTGTTAAATGCACTGCGGGCTTTCTCTATTCTTATTCTTATTTCTCTAATGTATTCGTTTGACTCGTTAATATTTGTTCCGAGGTAATTGTAATTTTGTACTCGTTCAATGAGATTCTGTCCTACATGTAAGTTGATATTATTGATACGTTTCTTTGTAATTATCATGAATTTGGTCTTCTTTGTATTCAGTGACAGACCAAATTCTTCACTTGCTTCTTGTTGATGCTAAGCGACAGTAAATAATTGCAAGGGTCATAAGATAAAATGTACTTGTGACAGTAATATAATCAATTATAGTCAATGTCAAGTCGATAATGTTAATTGTGAAATTAAATTAAAAATTAAATAAAAGGTAATTTTTCCCCAATTTGAACTTCTATCCAAATTTTAATAGACAAGCATTAGTTTGAAATAAAAAAAGTTTATTCCCACAAAACCATTTTTTAATTATCTACAACTGTAATGACAACAACTAAAAAAATGGAAACAAAATATATAGAGATAACTTAACCAGTAACTTTTAGCAATAATTGGACTGAGGTTTCTATATAATTCAAGATATCTGGTAAAGTTCCATATACTGCAGGAACCTTACGGGACACAAGACCAGCATGAGACAAGTAAATGTATCCCTGTAGGCTAGGCTGACCTAGAAACACTACACTCTAGGTAGCCCTTATAGAGGAGTGCGCAATAAAATCCTTCAGTACAAAATCTCGCCGCACAAGCTCAGACGCTAAATTGCTACACCGGCTGTCGGATGACAACAAAGGCGTAGCCCGCTATGCTCAAGTGGAGATGGGGGGATTCGTTGAAACTTCTCTTTTAAATTGAATGAATGTTAACTGGGAGCCAGGCAGATTTGCTCCACGGCCCACGCCTAAAGTAGACTACAACTTCAAACCTACCAAATTGTTGCAGTACTAAATCAATGGTATATGGAACAAGGGAAATAAAACGACACCTCACTTATAAATTATATATTAATAATAAACAAACAAAAAATAAATTTATCCCGTAAATAAATATGAAATAATTAATAATAAAATAAAACATACAAATATAACACTACTAAATAAATACTAGGATAACCTACACAGTAACTATCCCTTGTTTCAAGTTAAGAAAATAACATTGCGCTTATGGAGATCAGTGTTGCCAAAACTCTCAGACACAAGTTGCTATTAGATTGTCGATACATGATTCATTGTAATCAGAGCCGTATTCATCACTGTGTAGTTGTAGTGAATTAATTCCACTAATAAAAGGATATGTATAGTTGAATACTTATGATATGTATAGTTGAATGTTTAAATTATTAGTTTGTAAGTTAATAAAAGTTATTAGTTTTAAAACTAAATTTTAAAATTATTTTGAAATGTACAGGGTATCCCAATAAATTTCGGCGTATCAAAGTTATATTTTATCTTCTTATTCTTCTTCCTCTTTATAAGCAATCCAACTTGTTCATTGGTAGATTGATACCTCTATGGAAGGTTGTTACTTTATCTTTTGTGGCCGATACTTTTTCTACCTATTAATGATCTATCTCTTGCTATTTTGGCCACACGTGTCTTGCTATATATAATATATATATATATATATATTATATATATATATATATATATATATTATATATATATATATATATATACATTTAATGTACCATTCTTCTACCCCTATATCGATGACTGTATCTGTGCTATTCAACAATAAACAACCGAAATTTTAGATATTTTCAACAGTTACCATCCAAAATTAAATTTCACTATAGAAATTGAACAAAATAATAAAATAAATTTTCTGGATATCACCTTACATCGCATTAACAATACAGTTAAAACCATGTGGTTTACAAAAGAAACATGGTCTTCACGATATCTCAACTACAATTCCCATCATCCATTTTCCCATAAGAAGTCTGTGATTATTAGTCTCGCTGATAAATCTATACAACTAACAGATCCAGAATACAGACCAACTGCAATAAAAAAAGCAAAAAATGCCCTTCTAAAGAATGCATATCCCGAACATCTAATCGAAACTATTTTCAAATCAAGACTCAATAAATTTTATAACAATACAACTAACAATAAACCCAACAGTATCAAAACTACTTACACAACTCTTCCATATATAAAAGGTTTATCCGAACAACTAACAAATCTTTTGGCCAAACATAATATAACAGTGGCCCACAAAGGCAACAACCTCTTAAATAAATATTTCACAAAACTAAAAACACAAACTCCAAAACTTAAAAAATCACATGTTGTTTACGAGATACCATGTATTAACTGTGAAGGTGTCTATATCGGTCAAACCAGTCAACTGCTTCAATCCAGAATTCGTTCTCACAAATATGACAAGAACAACGTCACTGCGCTCACAAAACATGAAAGTGAGAAGAAGCATAAATTTGATTTTGAAAACATCAAAATTTTAAAAACAGAACAAAACAAAAAGAAGAGGGAGATATACGAATCAATAGAAATAAAAAGAAATACCAACGCAATAAATGACAAAAAAGATACACAAAACCTAAATAAAATATATTTCAATCTGATTTAAATAATAATAATATAACATCATAAAAAGCTCTTAAAGTCATAACATATCTCCACTTTACCTTTTTCGAAAACATCAATGATACGCCCATATAAAAATAATTATATACTAATGACAGTAAACCATGAGATATCAGATATCAACTTTTATTTGTCAGTTCGTTAATGTCTGTGTCACGTTTTACGTTTGGTAAGTTATATATATATATATATATATATATATATATATACATATTTTACAATATCTGTTTGTCCTTATACATATACATTTTAGAATCTTGACAAAGGCAAGGGTTTCCTGCCGAAACGTTGATTGCTATGGAAAATAAAATCTAGTTGCACATATAATATATCTTTATTGAACCTAAACCCAAGAAACACTAATTATATATATATATATATATATATATATATATATATATATATATATATATATATATATATATATATATATATATATTATGTTATATTATTTGAAATTGAAAATTCGTACTATTTCCTAATTTTCACTTTTGCCGGACTGTCGGACTGTCCGCTGATTTGCATACTATCACATAATTTACTCACTGCATATTAACATCATCCTCATCTTCTCTATCGTCACTATCACTTTCATTACTGTCACTGTCAACCGTCACATTTATTACCACAGGATTAATATCGTCCATCAACCCATCAATAACCAAAATGTTTGCTCAAAAGTAAGTTTATAATAGTTTTTCCAGTTTTCCACTGTTACTACACCAAATGCATTTCTTATTAATTGTTTCATAACGGCGGTCTTAAAGTCTGTGTTGTGTGAGGCAATATGTCTTTGGACTTGACGCCATACTGTTTCAATTGGATTTAACCAATTACGTATAATATAAATTTTTTTTGATAATATTGATAAATGTATATTTTAAATTTTCACGTTGACTTATCAATTTAAATATTTAATTTAAATTCTATAGTAACTAAAAGTAATAATCAATAACCTTCAGACGTCAGTTTAGACATTTTCAATTTTCAATTAATAATTTTAAATACAGAGGTCGCTCTCGGATTTATTTCCGTATATCCGAGCTTCCTCCTTCATTTTACTTCAAAAATGTAAGTCAAAAACAGCTGTTGTCGTTGCTGTATGTGGTAACCATGTTTTATAAAAAAGTTTTTGATGTGAATTATACATATGTATAAGGGTTAGACCCAAGATCTGTGGCCTAGAGAGCCCGATCTTTGTTTTTTAATATGTCGTTTGTCCACAATTTTCCTTCTATGAAGTATTTATTGCCTAATTGACGTAAGTTTTTTCTGTCATTGTATTTTATATAAAAAATTTACTTAACTTAACGTTATTTTAGGATAGCTCTGATGATGACATTTATTATGTCGAAAGTATACTCAGCTTAATTAATAAATTATTTTACACACTATCAATTTTATTGAAAACATACAAAACCTGCTTACCAGTTAGACCTATTTAGAAGTGTGTACAAGTCTTACAGTCTTTTTCAATTCAATGTATAATATATAGACTAAGCAGTCCCCTATTCTCGCTATATAATCGAGTGTCCGAAAGATCTCCGCTCAAGGTTGAAGATATGTTTACCAGAACAGCGGCGTGCTCATTTAAATGTTAATGACAATAATTATTTTTTTAATTAAAATTAAATATTTATGATTTCTTTTTGTTGTCTCTATAAGAGAAATAATTATTTTGATAAAATAGTATATGGCATTTTACTAAAATAGTAAGTAAATAACTCTCAACAATTTAAAATAAAATTTGTTTGTCACATAAAATATGTAAACGCACAAAATGGAGAAAATGTTTTCATATGTCCATGATGTTTTCAAACACAAGATCAACTTCGTGATGCTTCGTAAGAAATCATGAACTTCGTGCATCTTCGTATCAAAACAATAAACAATAACAAAGGTATTCATGTTGTGGACACTTTTTAAAGCGTTCACCGGGTCTATATATTATACGTCATTGGATTTAACTCACAATGGTATGGAGGTAGTCTCAGAATGGAAACATTTTTCTCTTTGCACATCTCGTCGATTTTATATTTTATTTATTTTTCTCTGTATGTGTTTACGACTTTCATGAGCTCTGATTTTAAATAATCTTCTTCAAAAAAATATCTTTCTTCAGCAATCACGTCTTAATTTATCTTTATTGAAGGCTTGTGTCGGAATCACTTCTTCTCTCCTCGAATGGTACAATGCGTTGTCAGTCACAACAGTTTTTTCTGGAAGATTATTAAGCGGCTTTTCCTTAAACCATCGTTCAAATATATCACCATCCATCTCATCATTATAGCCTGCTGAGTTTTTCAGCCATAAACCAAAAAGCAGCACCTTCTACAAAGCCCAATTCGCTACCTGCATGCACTATAACAAATCGGGGGCCACGTTGTGTTTTTCAACTACTTAAATTACACATAGGACCTTCATAATTCGTCTAAAAAATCTTTATAATATAATAAAACAGACCACCAAATTTCATTTAAATCCATTAAATAGATTTCGCATAATAATTTTGCAATCTAAATTAAAAAAAAAATTAATGTTGCACAACAAAAACTAGGCCATATAGAAGTTTGCAAATACTTTATGAAAATAAAATCAGATTATTTGGACGACCTCAGAAATATTTTAAAATTATAAACAATTTTTTGGCTTTAAACAAGTAGAATATCTCGGTAACTATTAGCTTAAATTAAATTCAGGAAACGGCGTTGGAAAAGTCTTGGCAAGATGTTTCTTATAAAGAAAAAAAATTTAATTACGAGCAGTGGTTCCTGAGATACGACCGGTCAAAGTTGTCCGGCATTTGCGACAAAGTTATAAACAATATGATGATAATCTTTAAACTATTACCTTTATCTTTTGGAGCTCTTTCTCGATTAAAAATTTTCATATAACTATTCAAGATATTTATAACGTATATTAAAACAAGTAAAACCATCGGTATTGCTCGTGAAAAATACCAAAAAAACTTGGTTGAAGCAAATTTACTTTCAAATTTTAAAATCGGTATACGTACAAATACCCAATTTTCTTCATTTTTAATCCAACTTAACTCGACTAGGTCCATCTAAAAAACGCATTACGAAATGCCGGACATGCTTTAGTTTGGCTATAAATAAATTTATATATTAAAATAAATTTATTTATATATACTTCAGTCATTAGAGACGAAAATGTCACTGCAAATTACTATGTGTTCATTGATGCTGATCTGATAAGACCGAAAACATAAAGAAATTGTAATGTTTGGAAAATTTCATTTTTTTAATAGACACCAGTTATACCATTTTGCACTAGACCTGTTTCACTTCACTCTAAGTTTATACCTACTATATGTTAAATCACCATATCAGAGTAAGGATAAAAATAAAAAAAATACTCACATAAAAGTTATAATACATAGATAGGAGAATACAAATAATACCACCAAAACATTGGAACTGAACGCTAAGGCTCTTGCAGATTAACTAGGCAATTCAATTATTGGCAATTACCGAAAAAATGTTATTTTTTCGTCTGTTTAATGATAAATTCTAATATTATAATTATTTTTTAGACCGTTGTAGTGTTTTACTATACCAAGCAATGTTCATTCTGCAATGGCATTTCTTACATATTCCTGACAGTAGCAAGAAAATTTTCATTGATGTCAAATTTAATATTCACTCGTATTGATGGAGACATTAACATCCTCCCATGGGAATACACGATGGAAACGTATCCCACTATTCTATTCTTTCCTGCCAAGAGGTACAGCGCTCGATATTACTATTACTAACATTGTTTGTGATTTTACCTTTAATTATGTTTTAGGAAATCTGAAAGTCGGGTGTTCCCTTCGGGTATTTCCATAACTGTACCAAATCTAATCAATTTTTTGTTGGTTAATTTGGAACCTAATTTAAAAATACAAGCATTGTGGTCCATGTGTGTTCAAACTAAAGTAAGTATCTAAAAATATAAAGTAAAATGTTAGTCACGCCAAAAAATAATTATCAATAGATTAAGGAAAATGCCCACCTTCTTTATTATCTACCTGAGATACATTCGACGTCTGAGGGAAACAGTATACGAAGACGAGTTACGTTACGAGCACAATTACATATAAAATACTGTTTAGTTATATTGTCAGTATAGTTAATCAAAATAGTGAACCTACACGCAAAAGTGTTCATTTGTCAATAAGGAACCTACACCTTCGTTATCGACAGTATAGAAATGGTCAAGGGAATTTGAACGCACATCAGTTAAATATTATATCGTCGGCTTACAAGCGAAACACACTAAGTCAATTTTTTTCACTTTTGAGTTATTTGCAGCATTTTATTGTATTTGTTTTACTCTTTAGACTGGTTAAACTCACTAAGTCATACAATAACAAAAACGGTTATTTTCATAATTATCATGTTTCTCACTAAGTCTCAAAAACTATATATGATTCAGGCAAAACACACTAAGTGACTTAATGTATTTCACTTGACTACGAATGAACCTACCGACTGACTTACGCAGAGCAACTTCGTCCAATCTTGTAAAAAATTAATTATTTGTTTGGGTATATTGCATAGGTTTTGTCAGTTTTATTCCAGTGTTTTGCGTGATTAGGTCGTTAACAGTTTTGAATTTTGTGTGTATTTATTTATTTCTGTCAGAAAAATAAAATTTTCTTTCGAACTACCTACAGCGATAAACAAAGACGTGAGCCTAAATTCTGATAATTTTTGTCAAGATATTCAGTCATGTCCTCCTCAAATAAGTGACCAGGATTCTGATGAATGTATGGAGGATAGCGACTATATTCCTTCAGGTAATGAAAGTGATAATTTAGATACCAGCGAAGGAAACTCTACAGCAGACGAGGAAAAAACAAATTCAAATGAAAATAGTCAAGTAGGACCTAAAAGAAGCCGATAGAACACCTCAAGACCATCTGTGTGGTCAACATCCCAAGACCATCAACTTTTCTGAAGAGAACCGGAAGTTGCTATGTCAAACTTATGCGATGTTGTCATTTCAAAGACAGAAAGATTTTATATTATTGAATTTGCTTTCTAATGAAGTAAAGAGTCGCAGGCCTAGAAAAGGAGAAAATAGCAAAATGCTAAAGAATAAAGAGCAAAATGAAAGCGGCGAATATAGTGGAATAGACAGAAGGGGCCGTAGGATTCCTGGCAATAAAACTTCAGTGGAAGCAAGAATAAGAGCAAAAAAACACATTGAAAGCTTTCCTGTTGTAGAAAGTCACTACACTAAAAATTCTTCGAAAAGACTTTATTTAGATTGCAATCTTAATATTTAAAAAATGCACGACCTGTTCGTTAAAAAGTGTAAAGAGGACAATTTGCCAAGCTTAAGTCAGATAACTTATAGGCGAATCTTTTGCAAGGAATTTAATATATCATTTTTCAAACCTAGGAAAGACCAATGTTTGACCTGTAAGGAATACACAAAAGCATCGCAACAAGAAAAGAAGCGATGGAGCTTAATTATAGGAGTCATTTACACAGAAAAGAGGCTGCAATAAAAGAAAAAAATTCAGACAAAGAAGTATCGAAAAATAATAAAAAATTTAAATCAATTACATGTGATATGCAAAGCGTTTTACAAATTCCATCATCGCAAGTAAGTCTCTTTTATTATCTTAGAAAGCTGAACCTCTATAATTTTACAATTTAGGAATCTGCTCCACCAAATGAGGCATTCTGTTATTTTTGAACCGAAGTCAATGGTAAGCGTGGAAGCTGTGAAATTGGTACTTGGCTAGGTTCATTATCTGATATAGAACATCTAACGATTTTTTCAGATACGTGTGGAGGACAGAACAAAAATATTCAAGTATCTGCTCTGCTTTTACATATTGTTAAAAACCATCCGAGTCTTCGGATAATTGAGCAAAAGTTCATGGAAAGTGGACACTCCTATATGGAAGTAGATTCCATGCATAGCGCTATTGAAAGTGCCAAAAAAAATGTGGAGATTTTTAGTATTCACGAATATGAAAATGTCTTTAAAATGGCCAGAATGGGAATAAAAAATCTTCCTATAATACTCGTGAAGTTAATTATAACGAATTCTTAGATTTGAAAAATTTGCACAATATACTATTGTTAATAAGAAAGAGGATCAAAAAGGGCAAACGGTCAACCGGTTAAAGGTAAAGTGTTTTAAGTATGAGAAACAGTTTCCTAACATTCTACAGTACAAGTAAAATTTTCACGACGAATATGAAAATATTAATGTTAGTTTTGTATGTCGTGTTTCTAACAGAACAGTCAAAGAGGATAATAATAATGAAAATTTGGTTATTCCTCAATTATATTCTAAACAGCTTCCAATTTCGGATGCAAAGAAAAAAGATTTGATAAAGCTCTGTGAAAAAAATATAGTTCCGCAAGCGCTCCATACCTGGTTCAAAAATCTACCAAGTTCCTCTTCTGTTCGAGACCAAACAGCGGAGTCAGCTGAAAAGGACTCTGACGAAGAAGACTTTGAAAATTAGAAGCATATTTTTTTTTGTTATACACGTTTTGTTTTGTTATACCTGTTTTTTTTTAATAATGTTCTTGTTTTGTGAAAATATACATGAAAAAAGTAAAAACTTATATAAGCAAAAATTATTATATTATTTACAATGTAAACGAAGCCTGCAATAATCGTATGACAGTAAGTAAATAAAAAAATACACGTAAGTCATACTTTCATAGCAAAATTAAACAAGAAAAACACACTAATTTAAATGCTACAGGTAAAAAACATTAAGTCAACGTATTCAAATCGAAAATTAAACAAAAATTAATAATTTGGTAATATATAATTTACTTCTCCTCGTCAGTAATCATTATTAATACTTTATGAAAACTTTCGTATAATTACAAAACAACAAATAAAAGTTTTAAATGTGAAAATTGATCAAACTGTTTTTAAAAAAATTTAAAACACGATTATCTCAAAACTATATTTTTTGACTTAGTGTGTTTCGCTTGTAAGCCGACGATATAATAATTGTTGGTTAAAAACGGCAAGTGTCAAAAAAAATATCGCGAAGATATCAATATGATTTGAAGTGGTACATATTACACAAAAAATGAATATGAAAAATCTATGTAAAATAAGAGCCACGTTTCGTCAAGGTTAAAAATATATTTGCATATTCTTATTTAATATTACAGATGTTGAATAATCATGGAGAATGATTGGGGGATTGGTGTTACAAATTCTTGAAACATCCTCCATATCTCTCTATAAACTTTTGATTTGGAAAACTCTTGGTTAAATTAAGAGATAAATGGATGTTATGACCTTCAAAGACCTCCCCGAATCTCACATCGGGACAGCATTTCGGTATTGTCTAAAATTTTGACAATATTAATAAAGTACAGCGAAGCTACACTGTAAATTAAAGGGATTTTCAAAATTAAAATTTATCTTTTTGTTTTTTTTTTGTAGCTTTTTGTTAAACCGGTAGTGGTATTTAGCCAATTGGCTTCTTACATCTGTATATCTATCCATTTTTCATTCATTCTTTTACCCATTTCAGAATTGTGGAACCACGTATCAGCTTGTACAGTGACTTTATTTTTTTTTGTCTTTCGATTCTTTCGCTTTCTTTTAATAGATTCCGTGGATTTTTAATTGCGGTGTGCCATTTTCACGTAGTTTCATTGTTTTTGTACAACCTGTAATGTTGATTACCAACACGTATATACCTTGTTTCACAACTACAAGTATTGACAATTAGTGGACTGCTAAATACTATTGTATTTCTTAGACGTCTTAATTTAAATTTTACTATTTAGGATTTCTTTTGATCAATTTAAATTTGCTCTGCCCTTTGTTTTGGGTTTATTCAGAAGAGTTTTAATTTGGCGGTAGACCTCTTTATCTTGTACTGTGATATTAATATTACTATTTTTTATTGCTTTAAAGTATACTATGTTCCCATTTATCATTAACTTATTTCTCCAATTAATCTTCTTCCTTGAAATATTATTATTCAGGTTCCTTAAACTTGTCAGATAATTTTATCGGATACTTAACTTGATGTTTTGTTGAATGAGAAATTATGTCCTAGACCCATTCTCCCATCTAATTACCAAAGTTTCCCTTCCCATATTCTACTCTCAGTACCAAGATAGAGCGTAAGGGAAATGATCCTGGTTCGGTCTATTATTGGATACTACAAGTTTTAAATTAACCGAACGATTACCTGTATACGTAATCCCCCTCTTATTGGTCAACAGCTACGGGTGGAAGAACTGAAACGTGCTAGGGCACTTCATTGCTCTGGAGCTGAGAAATTAACTCCAAAGGCGGAAGAGCTGAATTAGTCAAAGGCATTGAGATGTGGAAAGCCACGGGATGACTACCACAGTAAGATCCGCTTGAATATCCTTAGTAAACCACTAGTCGATAAGTTACTTAATAATCAGTGAACTCGGAATCCAACATCAGACAGGGGAGGAGAATCAGAATTAGACAACAAGGCCTCTCAGGTTGTCATCATGTTAAATCCCTGTCAAACAAATAAGAATAACTATATAGCTTTGAAAGTTTGTACCAATCTGGAAAACTAGATAACACTGTGTTGGAAATGTGCAGATTGAAGATTAACATACTGGGGCCTAGTGTTATGCAATGGCCTGAATCATAAAAATGTAACACCGGAAATGGAACAATGTATGATTCCGGTAACGTTAACTCCAATCACAGGCAGGGAGTTGGCATTATAGTTGATAAGAATTCTCAGCTGCTCTCAGAGAATTCTCAGAAGTCTCAGCTGCAGAAAAGCTGTTTGTAACTTTGTTCCCTACTCTGATCGAGTATTGATGCTGTCGTTCAACTCTCATTTAAAACGTAAAATAAATATAATCCAAATATATGCACCCATAGCAGACAAGGATGTGGGGCGATATGGACTCGGGGGGAGAAATGAACGTAGCGATAGGCTGGTTCATCAATGAGAAACTCATAATTGCGAATACCTTGTTCAAACTTCCTAAACGTAGGTTATACACATGGAGGTCACCACCTGACAGTAACAACAAAATACTCAGAAATCAAATAGATTATATTATCGTCAACAGAAGGTATAGAAATTCTATAATAGCATCCAAAACTTATCCAGAAACGGACATATTCTCCGATCACAATCGTATGTGATCGGAGCATTTAAAGAGTGTAAAGCGTCATAGCTCACATATATGCGGAAACGAAATTTAAAATAAACGAGAATTTAAAGAAAGTCAAAGAAGATAATGCAAAAACTCTAACTATTGACCAAAAATGGGGAAAAATTTAACATGTCCTTTTGTCAGTTGGAAAAGAAACTCTCAAACTACTTGGGGAAAAAACAAAACATTGGATGACAGTAGAAATTCTTGAATTTATAGAAGAACTAAGAAAACATAAAACAAAAGACGTGAATACATTCAGAAAAAAGAGGTGGCTCACCGACAGATGCAAGGAAATAGAAGATCTGGAAAAAAAGTATGATAACTTTAATTTACACAAAAAAATCAAAGAAATGACAGGTTCTATAAAAAGCACAAGAACAAATATCCTTAAAAATGATAAAGAATATATTATTTCTGATGTGAAGGAAAGATTATGTCACTGCTTATGCGAATGAATTTAGGCTTATTAGCTTAATGAGTCACTTACTAAAAATATTCTTATAGATCATACACAATCGAATTTATAAAAAATGTAAAATAGACTATAGCACAAGTGACTCTCAGTTCGGATTTGGAAAGGCCTTGGGAACAAGACAGGCGCTGTTTGCGACTTAAAAATTATTTAAAAATGCATCGATCACCAGAAAAAAATATATCATATATAGTTTCATCGACTATCAGAAGGCTTTTGAGAGCGTCCAGCACAAAAAATTGTGTGAACTACAGAAAGTGAAGCTAGACACAGAATGTGAACTAGATTAGAAGGCTAGGAACATCTACAATAAATGGAAACAAATTATCTATAACCGAAATCATCCGAATCAGAGATATTAAATGTTACGTTTGGTCAGTCCTTCTGTATGGAGTTGAAACTTAGACATTCAAATTAAATACTATAAGACGGCTAGAAGCCTTTGAAATGTAGTTTTATCGCAGAATGCTCAAAATATCATGGACACAGAATATTACGCATCAAACAGTATTAAATACCATAGATAGAGAGTTAGAACGCATAACAACGATTAAGAAAATAAACACTTGTACTTAGGCCACATAATGAGAAATGACAAATATAACCTGCTACGAATAATAATGAAAGGGAAGATAGAGTGCCGAAGAGGAGTAGGCAGAAGAACCACGTTATGGCTTTGAAATATCAGAACTTTGACGGGCGTGAACGTTCAACAATTACTAAGAGTGGCGCAGAATAGAGAAAATTTTGATGTAATGATCCCAAATCTTCAGTAATAGAGTGCACCAGAAGAAGAAGATGAAGATGTTGTTGATGTAATGATTGAACTCTTTGATCTAATATATCAGACTGCCACAATCCCCAGACAATGGCTGCAATCGACCTTTGTGGCAATACCCAAAAAGTAAAGTTCAACATCCTGCTCAGATCACAGAGCAATAGCTTGAGTCACACACTTAAAATAATACACAGCAGAATTGTTAAAACTCTTGAATAAGAAATTAGTGACACACAATTTGGCCCAGAGATGCATGGACATGAATCAGGGCATGTACATATGTTTGGTAGATTTTGAAAAGGCATTTGATAAGGTTCGACATAAAAAGCTTAATGTATTAAAAATCAAAAATATTGAGTCACAAAACTGCCAAGGTAAGACTTGACAACCAGAATACCAATGTAGACCAAACCAAAGAAATTAAGACACATATTGAAATAGTATGTGCATCAATCGTTAAACTTAAAAAGTTTCTTTGTTGTCGGGATATAAGGTTAGGAATACGCCTAAAGATGCTTCATTGTTACGTATTCACTACTCATCTTTATGTCTTTGGAAGCTTGGGCATTAAAACAAGTGCATCTGAATGAATAAGTTGGCCGCCTTTGAATTATGGTGTTACAGAAGAATCCTACGAATATCATGGACTCAAAGAATGGCAAACGCAGAAGTCACTAGAAGAATAGGAAATGAAGTTTAAATAATATTGACTATCAAAAGAAGAAAACTGATTATTGCAACTTATTATATAATTCAAAATTCGAGGAAAGCGAAATGCGGGAAGACGAAGAATATCGTGGCTTATGAACTTGAGGGAATGCTTTGAATTATGCATAACGTCTGATGATTTCCAAACTTCGATAGAAGATGAAAGTTGAAGAAGAAGAAGACTGATTATATTACGCTGCGATATCGTTTCTTCACTTGTTTTTCCTTAAGAAAATATATACTTTTTTACATAGACTTGTCTTTATGACACATAAATTCATTATCTTTAATATATACTATATTAATCTTATGTTTTTTTAGCTCTCCAAAGAACAATCATTTTGTTATTCAACACTGTTGGAAGAAACACTGAACTTGATAAACGACACTTTAAAAGAATGGAGAAAAACTCACAAACTACAACGCCAAATTCTGTTACATAGACTAAAGGCACTTCGTCAGTTACACTTATTATTTGCGCATAGTCCCAACAAACACATTGCTATCAGTGATTATTTAAAAAAACTGGATATGAACGTACGACATACTGAAGACTTTTACGTTACTAAAGAGATTAAATATACTAGATATGAATTATAGCATATATTTATTAAAGATAATACATGTGATCACTAGGATAAGCTAAAGATTTTGTTAACTATTGTTTGTTTTAAAGTGAACACAAGTTTACTGGCTAACTCTCCGAGCAGACTTAGCATGTTTGGTAAAAACTATTTCATTTTGATATTGTTATATCTCTAACAAAATAACTTTCCCGTTTAAACGTACACACGGTAGAAACAACTTATTGATGCCATCATAACTGACATATAGTGAAATCCAGAATGAATTTAAATGTTAAATTAGTATGTTTAAAATATTGCAGTAACTGTTAAAGTTAAAGGTCCATTAATAAAGTTTGACAGTGCCCAGCTTTCGAAAACTGGTTATCATTCTTAAATATTTAAAAATCAAATAATCATTCCAATGCAGTATTGTTTCATTCTGTATAAAATTAGAATTTGTAATCTTGTTATTCAATTCAGTAAATATTATGTTTAGAAAAAAAGAATTTCATTTCAATGTTCTGGGCTTATTAATGGCATATGATTAATTGTTTATATAATTTCATATTTCATATCGACATTAAAATGTTAAACATGTTGTGTATATAATAAAATATTTTCTGTTAATTGATGCATTTATCTCTTTACCCTTAAAAGGCGCGTACTTAGTGACATGGACAAATTTATTCGCACGAACGCTGCATGGGCAAAAATGCTCAGGTCTCTACGTGTGCCCACATTAAAGTTAACCCGCACGAATGCTTATCCGTTAGTAGTCGGTTTCTGGGCATCAAAAACTATTTACGCGTCAATTTGCTCAGTATTTATAGACTACAAAGCAGCCTGCGACTCCGTGAATAGAAGATAAATGTTCAAAGCAATGAAAGAGCTAGGAATACCAAATCAGTTGGTAAATTTAACAAAACCAACTCTTGAAAAAGTTTAATGTAGAGTATGAATTCAAGGGGAACTGTCTGAACCTTTTAAAACAAATAACGAGCTTCACAACTTTTATAGTTTTTGACAAGAAACAGTGTAAATTTAAATAATAAACCGAAATATATAGAAGCAGTGTACAGTGGTCTGTTAATAGCTGTAAGTACATGTTCAAAATTGGCAGTAATTTAATTACAAACATTGTTTTTATATATATTATCCAGGATTTATAATTCGCATTTATTAATTATTTAAAAGACTAGTTTCAACTCTTGGCATTAGCTTGTTAATCGCTAGATCGACTATTTACTTTTAAATAAACAGAGTCGGACCTACAAAATTAAAATTATTGAAATGACAGGTGGTACTTCTGACTACAGGGGTCCATCAATTAATCACGATCAGCAAAACGTTACTTATTCTACCATTACTAAGCAACAACCATTAACAAAATTCCCAACAAAAAAAAGAGGTCATAATTTTACCGGCAGTAGATGAAATGAGAACAGAAGAGTACACCATTGCAGTAGGAACTATAGTCCATCCAATGTACTGTTCTCATGTCAAATGGAAGAATATGCATCTACCTTTCAAGCATACAAATCGTACATGATTTTCTGAGTCAACATGGTGAAATTAAATCCTCTTGTTTTTAAATTATTGTCTCCGATTTAGTTTCTTAGAGCTGGAATACAAGACCCATAATACAGACATGTACTTAGTTTTCGAAGACAAGTTTACTTTGCAGCTACAGACAATTTTACTGTACCTGACTCCGTCCTATTTGATTTTGGATACTATTTTTCGTACCGAATTTTTCTTTCCGATAAACTAACTTGTTACAAATGCCACCAAGCTGGTCACGTTTCATCGGACTGTACCTCAAATACCTCTTATACTCAAAAGCCCCAAACGGAGGAAAATTTTCTTCCACAAATACCATCCACTAGCCCCGAACAAAATCAAATTACACATATAAATGACGAATCTCGAGAAAAAATGGATGCTCAAATCAGTACTAATACCGATAATAAAAATAAACGATCTTATTTGGAGGTGTCGTCCCCAACTTGCTGCACTCCTACAGAAACTATATCAACAGAAATCTTGAAACCAAAACCAGTGCAAATTAAAAAGAAGAAAAAAATTATCAAATTAGACAAATCCACTTCAGAAACTACTAATATTGAATCGTTTTACAACCAGTCAAACAATTTATCTAGGATGCATCACCATCATATGTACTAAATTACAAACCAATTACTAGCAATCTTAGAAGACGTTCACGGTTCTTTCACCCCAGTGGAACTGGCCCTAGAATACACACAGGATATAAACGGGTTGGGACATATGCTAACTGAAATATATCTCATGTTGAACGAAAGAGCAATTAAATCTAGAATTACAAGAATCAAGAAAAAACTACTTAGTAAAATAAACCAAGATTTTAGTAATTGATGGATTCGACCGTTACTTGATGGAAATTCATTTTATGTAACAATAAAACACTGAAAACTTTGTTTTCAAACTTCCACAAAATTTATTTTAAATCTTATCACTACAGCTGTTTCGGCTGATTGCCTTTCTCAAGTGATCTATTTTTGGTTTGGGTTTACAAATTTATAGTCTCTAATGAAATAGGTTGAGGAGGGGAGAACTGTTTGTCTCAAGTTGGTCATTCAGAATTATATCTGTGTTTTTTAATTTGTTGATTTCCATAGATTCTAACAGAGATAGCTTAAGGCCTTTATTTTGAATGTGAAGAATTTTAAATTTGTCATTAAAAGAATGATTATGATCTAGAAGGTGAAGTGCGTATGTCGAATCTGTTTTTCTATTCTTGAAAGCCCTTTTATGTTCTGCTATTCGTTTATCAAAGTTTCTACCAGTTTGACCGATGTAAGTTTTTGGGCAGTCGCCACATTGAAGTTTGTACACACCACTATTTAAGTGTTTTTTATTTTGGCTCTTGTTATTTTTAATATATTTGCCTAGGTTGTTATTTGTTCGGAAAGCTGGTGTTATTCCTTTCTTTTTTATATGTTTGGCAATTTTTGTTGTTATTTTGCCTGTATATGTAATCGAGCAGAAGGTACTGGGTTTTTTCTCTGGTGGTGGAAATACTAATTTCAGGGCTTTCTTGTGTAGTTTTTGATTTAACATTTTATTAATTGTTTGTTCGTTGTATCCGTTGTTTACTGCTATTTGCTTACTTATATTTAATTCTGTCTCAAAGTTGTATTTTGACATCGGAATTTCTGTTAATCTATGTAGCATACTATGATAAGCTGCCAGTTTGTGTTGTGTTGGATGGGATGATGAATTGTGTATAGTCGTGTCAGTATGGGTAGGTTTATGAAATATGGAGAAGTCATGTTTGTTTTGAAGTCTGCTAATTTTTAAATCTAAAAAAATTATGGATTGATTTTGTTCTTAATTTACTTTATCGTGTCCGGACATGTCATTCATAAAATTTCGGCCCAGTATCGGGCTACGTCGGTTCCATCTTTGTTGGCGAGCCACAAATCTTCAAGGGTACATCGATGAGGACAGTTTCTGCATGTAAGAAGATGTTCCATATTCTGTGTTTCTCCACAGTCACAGTTCACATCATCTTGGTTTATTTTTCCCCATTTTGCCATGTTTGATTTTACTGTAGCAACCCCCGTTCTTATCCTATTTAAGGTTTTCCACGTTTTAAAGTCTAGGGTCTGGCCGGCCCATTGAACCTGGGGAAGTGGAAAATACTCAGGCGGTTCATCCTTCACTGTTCCAAGGAAGCTTTTCCTAGATTTTAGTCGCTTTCGTGGTGTTCGAGTTTTGTACAGGGCATGCCGATCGTCCGCGATCTGTTTAATTTTCTCTATGTGTTCTGCAGCGCCTCTGCGTGTTGAGGGTTCTGCAAAACCCGCTGCTCTATATAGATTTGAAAGTGGCGTTGGTTTCATGCACCCTGTTACTATCCTGCATGTCTCATTTAGCGCAGTATCAACTTGTTTGGTGTGGACAGATCTGCTCCAAACGGGGCATGCATATTCAGCAGTTGAGAAACACAGTGCCTGTGCCGTTGTTCTTAAAACGCCAGGACGTGCGCCCCATTTACTTCCCGTTAGCTTTCTGAGTATGCTGTTCCTAGTTGTTACTTTCCCTCTTGTTTTTATGCAATGTTGTCTGTAGGTGAGGGACCGGTCCAGAGTTACTCCAAGATATATAGGTTGGTTTGTGTGTTCTAATGTATTACCATTCCACACAATTTGGAGTTTTCGCTTGGCTTCCTTTGTGCGAAGGTGGAAAGCGCAGACTTGGGTTTTAGAGGGATTGGGTCTCAGAGAATTCTGCAGGTAGTACGCTGTCATTGTTTTTAAGACAGTTTCGAGTTTCTCCTCCACTTCTTTAAAACTATTTCCTTGAGCACATATTGCAAGATCGTCAGCATAGAGGAAGTGCTTGGTTTCGGTCGGAGTAGGTTGATCGTTTGTGTATATATTGAAGAGCATTGGTGCTAAAACACTTCCCTGTGGGAGGCCGTTTTTTTGAACTCTCCACCTACTTACTTTACCCTCCAGCATAACGAAAAAACGTCTATTTTGCAGTAAGGAATATACGACCTTTCCCAGATGGTGGTCATTGAGAGTATCGTATAATTTGCGGAGCAATGTTTTGTGCCTTACTGTGTCATAGGCTGCTGTCAGATCTACAAAAGCAGCCCCTGTTATAAGTTTTTCTTCAAAACCCTCTTCAATGTGTTCTGTTAATGCGAGGACTTGACCGGTGCAAGATTTGCCAGGTCTGAATCCTCCTTGTTGTGGGATGAGGTGCTTGTCGACATTTTTTTCTATTCTGGCGAGTATGAGTCTCTCGTATAGTTTAAAAAAGTGACACAATAGCGAAATAGGTCTGTAGCTACTGGGGTCTTCTGGATCCTTTCCTGGTTTTAACAAGGCTATTACTTTAGATTTCCTCCATGATTTTGGAATTTTGCAGGTTTTGCAGCACGTGTTATAAAATTGCAAGATCCAGTTTTTTGCTCCTTGGCCTAAATGCTTTATTTGTTCACTGCATATATCATCCACACCTGCAGCTTTCCCGTTTTTTAACCTGTTCAGACCGTCGTGAAGTTCTTTTAGAGTAAAAGGAGTTCCTAGGTGGTTTGTCTCCGAATCCAATCTTCTCCTAGTGTTTGGGTCCTTATATCGGTTCGTAGTTCTTCCATTCGTAAGGAGTTGAGTAGCGACTTGGTTTGCTGTAACCTTGCAAGGTGGTTTATGTTCTTTTGGATCACCGCTGAGTTTTTTTACAAGGTTCCATGCTATTTTGCTACTATGTGTCATGTCCATTTTTTCCAGGGTCTCAATCCACTTTTCCTGTCTGGCTTGACTTAGCTGTTGGAGTAGTACTGCTCCGCAGTCAACCGTTTCTTGGCTAAAAGGGTCAGTGGAATAGAGGGTTTCGTATGTACTCATTAGTTCTTTGGACTCGCTGGACATCCCGGGAACGTATTGTTGTCTACATCCTCTAGGGATAGTTTTTCTAGACACATTTTTGAGTACCTCTACGAATTTTTCGTAGTTCTCTACTTTTGGTTCAAGGCGTAGTAGTTCAAAATCTAGCATGTCTGCATACTTTTGCCAGTTTGCCTTTTTGAAGTTAAATCTCCTTCTGAATGGAATAGCTTGTGGTCTGACAATT